AAATTCACCTCCTAGTCTTCATCCTCATCCTCTTCCTTGCCCTCCTCTAATTCTCACTCTTCTCAGTCTTCCTTCTCCCTCCATTGTTCTCCACACTGAAAGCTTACCTGTGGCTTATTTATAGTGCTCATGCTGATTGCAAAGTGAACTAATTATCTAAAAGAGTTTTCACATGTGACAGTGTGGCCAGAAAGTTGGCAAAATAATGTTAACAATAGCCATAAATGTGTATAGTTCTACTAGGAGTGTGCTGATCATTTGGAAATTGTGTGTAAAGGAGTGAGTTGTGTTTACAGTTCCGCAAAAAGAGTGCTGTGCACTGGATTGTATTTACGCATTTGCAAATTGTGTTACAAAAGTGCTAACTGACTGCAAAGCAATGTTTGTGCTTTTAATTTTGCAAACTCAGTGAGTGATTTTGCTATAACTATTAATAGTTTTAGAAATTGTACCATAAGAATCATTGTTAGTGTTTAAGCATTCAGAAAAAACTGTAAACTGGGTTTTCTATTGTGGGGACAAAAGCTGAGAGCCCTGGAGCCTGACTCCATCTGATCAGCATGCAGCAAGGCTGAGAGCCCTGGAGCCTGACTCCATCTGATCATCGCGCAGCGAAGCTGAGAGCCCTGGAGCCTGACTCCGTCTGATCAGCACGCTGCGAAGCTGAGAGTCCTGGAGTCTGACTCCGTCTGATCATCGCGCAGCAAAGCTGAGAGTCCTGGAGTCTGACTCCATCTGATCAGCGCGCTGAGAAGCTGAGAGCCCTGGAGCCTGACTCCGTCTGATCATCGCGCAGCGAAGCTGAGAGTCCTGGAGTCTGACTCTGTCTGATCAGCACGCTGCGAAGCTGAGAGTCCTGGAGTCTGACTCCATCTGATCATCGCGCAGCAAAGCTGAGAGTCCTGGAGTCTGACTCCATCTGATCAGCGCGCTGAGAAGCTGAGAGCCCTGGAGCCTGACTCCATCTGATCATCGCGCGGCGAAGCTGAGAGTCCTGGAGTCTGACTCTGTCTGATCAGCACGCTGCGAAGCTGAGAGTCCTGGAGTCTGACTCTGTCTGATCAGCACGCTGCGAAGCTGAGAGCCTTGGAGCCTGACTCCGTCTGATCAGCGCGCAGCAAAGCTGAGAGCCCTGGAGCCTGACTCCATCTGATCAGCGCGCTGAGAAGCTGAGGGTCCTGGAGTCTGACTCCGTCTGATCATCGCGCTGAGAAGCTGAGAGCCCTGTAGTCTGACTCCGTCTGATCAGCACGCTGAGAAGCTGAGAGTCCTGGAGTCTGACTCCGTCTGATCAGCACGCTGCGAAGCTGAGAGTCCTGGAGCCTGACTCCGTCTGATCAGCATGCAGCAAGGCTGAGAGCCCTGGAGTCTGACTCCGTCTGTGTTTCTGGCCACAAAGAGTCTGGTCACTGAGCGTAGGGCCAGATTAAGAGTATTAAGTGACCCTGGGCAACCACATACATGACATCATGTCAGAAAGAAACTGAGCTCACTGGTGTTCAGAAATGCATTGAACATTGGCAAAGCATCACGTAGGCTTTTCAGTGAGTGCCATATTAAAAGAACAATATACAGTCATATTAATATATAAGATAAATTAGATTCAATTGCATTAACTTGTTCATGAATGGTGCCCCTGGGCATGTGCCCCAATGCTCACATGGTTAATCTGGGCCAGCTGAGTGGGAGGCAGGTCTTTACTGGCCGCTGATCTGGGTTTCTGCTGATCTGCCTTTCTGGCTGATCTGCTTGGTCTGTCGGAGTCAGTGACACTGCCAGAAAAACATAGACTCATTTGTGTGGGGAGCCTCCTTCTGTCCTTCTAGCCCCCCAATAATCAATCTTATGTAGACCTCTGGAATTTTCCATAGATGTGTGGCCATACAGCCCACAGGATATGCATGCATGTAAAAGGAGGCCAGACGCATTCATTTATGCTTTGATCTTCTACTGCTTGTGTTTTTTCACTTTCTATTTTGCTTAATTAGTCTAATAGAATTTTTATATATTTGCAAACTGCTTGCATCCCAAGTTAAACCTGTATGTTAATTTCCTTGTGCAGGTGTTACGGTTCCTGTCACTGAATGATATGTAAGGCAAATTACTGAAAAGCAGCATCTATGGTTATGAATACTGTGTCTTGACAGGGACTTCCGCACTGAGGGTAGGATTTCACTCACATGGGTTCCGTTTCTCTTGATTTACCTTAATGCCACATGACTGGAGTGTTTGAGAGCTTTGAAGCAGAAAAAAGTATCACCTGCGTTTAATGATGCGTCCTTAGAGCAGCATACCTGAGATTCTGCTTTCGGTTCACAGGTCAGAGCAAACCAGTGGAGTTCATCCTCAGAAACACAGAACTGGCTTCATCTGTCCCCAGCTTGACTCTGCTTTTTTCCTTCGACATGCCACTTCAAGCTCTTCCACCACGTCTGTTAAAATCTCAGAATAAACAAAATGTCTTCTGTAATGTTTTAAGTACTGTTGTCTGGTTTATAAACTGCAGCCCCATTTTCCTGCAGGTGATTGCTTGCAACATGTGTAAGGAGCATGTATTTACAATGAAAATGTGATTGCATGTAACATACGTGTGGAGCATTTATTTACCAGCTCACCTAAATTGTAATTACGTGTGACAAACGTGTGGAGCGTGCTGAATCCCTGCATACAGATCATGTTCAGCTGAGAACTGGTTGAATCCAGACTGTCCAGCATCTTTCCATTATAGAAATGTCATTTCTCTGTAATCGCTCGAGAGTGCTCAGTAGCACAGCATTTCAAAATGCCTTTCCCTGCCTCTTCATGTCGTCCTTATTCCTCCCGGCCCACTGCCTTTGGCTGAGAAGCCGGGGATGCAAGGACCTGCCCTCAGCCTTCACCCTCGAGCTTCCCATTCAGACCCGGTAATGAGCAGCTCTCCTTCCCAGACACCTGGGGCCCCGGCACATCCCTCGCCTCCCCAGCGGAGAGGGACACACGCTCCCTCATGCTCTGCGCCATCCTCTGCTGCTTAATGGCAGCTTTTGGAGGGTCTCTTGGGGAATGGTGGTCCTGAAAGTCGGCACTGGGTCCATTAGTGCGACTCCTCCATTTCAATCACATGAAAATACACCACAGTGCATCATAATCATCATAAGCGAGACTGCAGGCAGAGTGACAGCCAGCCTATGACATCTATTTCTGCTTAAATACTGTATATATGTGTGTGTACAAGGCAGGGCCATGGACAGCTGACTGAGCAGAGGCTGATTCAGGGCATTTTCAGTGGAAATAAATGACTAGATCATAGTGACAGGAGGCACATGAGAGTCATTGGAGAGAAAGAGGGACAAGATACATATCACAGTCAGTGGAGAGAGAGAGAGAGGCACAAAGAGTCAAATGAGAGTCAGTTGAGAGAGAGGGACACAGAGAAACACATGAGAGTCAGTGGGGAGAGAGGGACACAGAAACACATGAGAGTCAGTGGGGAGAGAGGGACACAGAGAAACACATGAGAGTCAGTGGGGAGAGAGGGACACAGAGAGAGAGATGAGAGTCAGTGGGGAGAGAGGGACACAGAGAGAGAGATGAGAGTCGGTGGGGAGAGAGGGACACACAGAGAGAGATGAGAGTCAGTGGGGAGAGAGGGACACAGAGAAACACATGAGAGTCAGTGGGGAGAGAGGGACACAGAGAAACACACGAGAGTCAGTGGGGAGAGAGGGACACAGAGAGAGAGATGAGATTTAGAGGGGAGGGAGATGGGACAGACGGGTACCTCTAACTGCCCCGATAAATGATCAACAGGTCATGGAAAGTTTCTGACTTGAGTAGAAGACACCTAGCTGAAGTCTCACTGTTCCTTTATATTCTCACCATTAACTTGTTTACCTGTAACTCTACAGAAAATGTGAAATTTAAACCAAAACTTGTGCATCGGATAGTTATGGAAGGGGAATGTGAAATGACTTTGAAGTCATATGAGGGTGGAGAGATTGTTGTGCTTCTGCTTTAAAGTTTGTTGTGATTGTGGGTAAAAATTATGAAGAAAGGCATCAAGTTATGAGGGCAGAGGAGAAATATGAGGGCCCTGCAGTTTGCAACCCTTTGCTTATGCAATCTGCAGGCAAAAGCTCTAAGAGCATTAAAGAATACAATCCCCATTCCTGCTTCTCTGTTATCCAGACTGATGGAACATTAGCAGAAATAGGGTAAAAAAGAGCATAGTGCTACATTTTGGGAAAATAATTTGTAGGTGTATGAAAATGGGTGAATGTTGTGCATTTAGATCTGTATTTATAATGGAGATTCAAATTGATGCACAAACCCCAGACACCATCACATGACTGCTGGGTACATTTAAAGAGCTGACATGTCCACTGATTTGTTTGCTTGGACAGCAAGTCTTCTTCAGTCATTTTTCTCACCATCTAGGTGACTTTTAACTCAACCCTGTGTGTGAGTCCAAGCCATGGCACAATGAAATCAGTGATCAGTAATTTCCCAACCGAGTTCTACATGCTTTTGGAAAAGTTGATGACACATTTCTTTGAAACATGGACGTCAGAGATACCATCAAAGACTCATTCTACTGGTATGTTTCTGGAGAAAAGCACTCACTTTACCTGTCGGGGCAACTAACAATGTTTACGCAGTGATGAGATTAAAAAGTCAATGTTTAAAAATAAGGTTTAACTAGTCAAATTAAAGAGGAATGAATCAGACATGAATCTGATTAGTGTCATGTAAACTAAAGTAGGACCACAGCCGCACGTTTGAATCCCACCTCTGCGTCAATACAACTTCAGCTTGCTGGTTTTTTGTTGGGCTCTCCTCAGTTCTGAGTGGTTCCCTGCCACAGTCCAAAGACTTAGTTGATGTCATTAATCAGTGAGATGCCTGTCACCTCTTACCCAGTCCACAGCACACTTTGTCGGGTTAGATTAGTCAATTTGCTTCTTATAGAGATTCTTTCTGAGAATATGATACTGTTAGAAAATTCAAAAGGCTTTAAGTTATGCTGTTTTATAATATTATTTATTAAAATAAATGACATTTATTCTGTCCAATGATATCAATGTCAGACACACACTTGTACTGAAAATCAGCTGGTTTCATCATCACTGAATGCCATTTCTTTATAAAAACAAAACACATTTTTGCTGCAGTGCTGTAATTCAGAACATTATTCACAAGCACAATAAAAAGATGAGATTGTAATGACCAAGTTTTAATTTAAAATGATAAAATCCATTTACATATTCATTTTAAATGAAAATATGATGCGTGTGGTAAAATTACAGCGCAGAGACGTTTATGGTTGAAATGTATAAATAACACAGTATTTCTCCAAAAGGCAGATGATTGTGAAATGGAAATGGGTGGCTGCAAACACAGCCCATGACCAAATGAGAAAGTCAGAAGTCACCCCCCTCGTATCTGAAGGGATGCGACACGCGCTCCGGATAGCCGCTGGAGGTGTAACTCCCGTAGCGGTAACTCTCCAGACTTTCCCCTTTCTCGGGTTTGGGGGGGATTGACTCCTGCTGATACGTCAAAGCTGATTTGATGACCCCAGAATCTTCCGGAAGCTTCAGATCAGGGTAGGAGCTGGACGAATTGCCCTCCAGCAAAGAGTTGCAGCTGGGCAAGCCCTTGACATCATAGAGGCTGTCGCCGTACTTCACCACGGCCGGTTTGCACGGCTGGTAGGACACCTTGGTGGTGGTGGTGATTATGGTCTGGAGGCCGGTGGGGCTGGCAGCTGTGGGTCCCGCGTACCTGCACGGGTATTCGCTGTTGTAGTAGTGCTGGTTGGAGTTGGTGCCAATCTGCCCATAGTCGGGCCGGTCACTGTAGCCCCCCTTGCCAACGACCTGCTTCCAGCCACGGTGCTTTCCGGAAGCATCATAGCCACGCTCGTGGATCCCCAGAGGGCTGGTGCTGAGCTGCGGCCCACCCAGACTCATGCAGGTCTTACTGGGGTCCACCTCGGGTGGCGGGCTGCCACGGTCCTTGTAAAGCGCTGTGTAGGGGCCCGGGCCCAGGTACCCGGGCACAGTGAAGTCGTAGCCACATGGCGGTCGTGGGACATACAGTCGTGGGTTGGCAGCCTTCTGCAGTGAAGCCGCATCACCGGCGGCACCAGGAGAGTCAAAGGGAAACTTATAGGGTTCAGGGTTCTGGAAGGAGTAGTGCTGTGGCTGGATGGGGAAATTAGACTCGGTGATGATGCTGAAGCGGTCTGGGCCATCCATGCAGGACAGGTGGTGCAGGCCGGGGAAAGGTCCACCTGGGTCATGGTACCTCCCGCTCTGTTAAAGAAGTGAGACAGTGTTCAGGGTTAGGGTTAGGGTTAGGTTCAGGGGTAGGGTTAGCGAGTTAGAGTTAGGTTCAGGGTAGGCTCTTACTTCTGGCTCTATTAGTCGTCGCTTCTGAGGGAAATGCGGTGAGGAGATGCGTTTCTTCACTGCACTCCTCCTGGCCTCTGTCTCTGACTTTGTCTCAGGTCTCAGGTGGTCATGAACTCCTTTAGCCTGCATCGGCATGAAAATACCACCTTTTTAATTCATGTTATACATGCTTCTCATGCATGTTTCATTTAGAACAGAGAGTATTATTTCCTTTAACATACATAGATATTTAAACACAAAGATAATGAAACAGGCACACATGATAGATAGATAGACAGACAGACAGACAGACAGACAGAGACAGACTGACAGACCTGAAAAAATATGGACTTTCCATCAACTCTCCAAAAATTGGTCACTGGATATCCACTGTGACCACGACAAGGTATCAGCTCCAGAGAAGAGTTGCAGTTGGGACAAAGCTTCTCTGGAAAATGCAGAGGGCAATAGATCAACTTTACAAAAGAGTATATAATGATAAAAGGCATCATCACTGATCAAGCCCAGGTGATTTGAAATGATATCACTTGTATTGTAATCCAGAGTAGCTCATTTTAGAAGTAAAGTTATGCTTCATCTTTGCTGTGGTTGGAATGTCCATAATATTTACAATCCAAATTTTACATGTGTTTTAACACTGAATATATTTTTAATGAGTGTTTTAGTTTTACAGAACACTTTTTTTTCGGCTTTCTTATATTTACATAAGAGCAATTTCCTTTGGTTAATAATAAATCAGGAGTTTCAGCCATAATTTAAATGTACTGGCGTTTGCAGCTTGGTGCCAGATAGAAAACGTTTGCAGGAATGAACTCATTGCCTTAGATACAGCAAGAAATTTGCCATATCCTCCTGAGACCCAAGGAGAAAAGTGTCCCTCAATTGTAGGTTATTTGTCTTTGGAGGAAATAAGACATCTTACAATTTAGATTTTTTCAAATTTATTCTTATTTTAATTTCACAGCATGTCCTCTTTAGTGCACAAAAAGAATAAATACGTTTCCCAACATCAGTGAAAAAATAAATGCAAAAATACAATGTCCACTACAATGGACATAAACGAATAGGTCGGGTCTCAGGAGGTTACAGGCCTAACTACCCTCACATACAGTATTGCATTAATTCTCATTTCCTTAAATATGATATGCTAAGAATTAGTTTGTCTGCAGTGTTGTTATTTTCTGATATGTGTTTATTGATATTTATTAGCTACTGCACTCATCTTCTTTCATTTCTTGAATTTATTTTGCTGAGTGGTCTCCGAGAAGCACGCACGTAAGCATTACACTGCATCATGATCACGCAACAATAAATAGGCTACTAGACGGAGTTTAAGCTTGTGAGGAAAATGGGTATTCAAAGTAAAATCTAATCGGCTGAATACGAAAATTGTAGAGGTTAAAACTGAAGTAGACTATAATAAATATCACTGTGTATTTTGCATAACGCGTATATAGTGCTTAGCAGCACCGCTTTATCCGAACACCTTAATCAAATAGGGAATGCCGATTAATTAGAGCAACCCGTCTTTGGCACAGCCTGCTGTGTATCACCAATATTACACGTGCAATGTTTAAAATATAAAAAACAGTATTATACTGCATTCACTGCTCCTAAAGTGTGAAATACTGGATATCATTCGTTTGTCAAAAAGTTTTTCTTACAATGTACTGTTTGGCACTTATCTGAACAAAGTTAATTTTACACGTACGCCCACGATACATATTGATGTGCTTCCAATTTTTGAGCGGTAGAGAACGTCAGGAAAACGAAATTCATTTTATCGTGTAGACCAGGGGTGGCAAATCTTATCCGCAAAGGGCCGCTGTGTATGCGGGTTTTCGCTGCAACTCCCTAATCAGATTACTAATTAGAGGACTGATTGGCTGAAGAGTCCTCACACCTGGGCAGCTGAACTAAAGGTTATCCCAAAATCCTGCATATACACTGGCCCTTTGAGGATAAAATTGCCCACCCCTGGCGTAGACTATTAGCATTTTGAAACTGAGAAACATTGAAAATTGCGAGCCACTCAGGAGCAGGCTGTAATTAATTAGTTAATTATAACGAACCAATACATCTTTAAAAGGCCTTTCGCGCTCTTTATTAAGGAAAGAACTGTAGTTGAATTTATTGTTCCAGGGTGATAAGCTGCTTTGAAATAACTTAATTATGGAGGGATACGTGTTTATATTTATCGTACAAAATGTTTTATTCTTGCAAATTTGAGTGAATATTGGCCTCTTTCTTTCTTTTTATAAGTAGCTGTATGATGTTTTGACATGACGAATTACTGAATGACCGTGGATGCAAATAGTTAGTTCAGCTGGCCTAAGTTTTATTAGTTAACCGAATCCGAAATGTGTAATTCAGGGTCAAAGCAGCGTAGCTACTTTTTATTATTATTGTCGTTTTACTTAGCTTTTCAGTTTATCTCCGCTCTTCTATTGCTTGGATTTGTCCTGTAGTGGCGCGGTTCAGCTAATCGAAACAACTCTGGGCGAAGTAAATTTCTTTTTTTGTGTTTTGTTGGTTGTCCATTATTGTGAGAGTCAGATGTCATTGCGCTGGCGCTAATTGGCCTGTGTGTGCGACACTGAGTGATAAATGATGTGTATGTATGTAACACGATGCAGTCGCTCGTGGACGGTAGACGCGGGGTGGAGTGTCACGCCGATGTCACTTGTGTAAAAGCATAGGGAGTCAGTTATGGACTGGAAATAAAAATCGGCCCCGGACATTTGTCAGTACAGGCCTACCACACAAACATAAGCCTATTTTCAATAAAATTACATGAATGTTTGGGGTTGGAGGGGTCATGAACAATTTTACGAGTCCAGCTCTGCGCTGTATCACATGTTAGTGACTGACTTGTCCTTGTACTGGAAACTGTGTTTTGTGTGACCGACGATTGCGCAATTCTCTCCGAGTATGTTGCGGTGGAAATTGTTTGATTTAGCCAGTTCCCATTAAATCAGCTAAGATTCACTGGAAGTGTCCCCCACGCTTAATATCCTTATCTCAATATCGGGAAGGCTTGCGCCCTCATGAGAAAATCGCGAGCTTTGAGGCGTAATCAGTTCATCTTCAAACTAATTTTATATGCCTATATTTTATGTCGACTGTTCACCATTTACCATGTTAAGCGTATGTCTAGATTATAATTGCTGTATAAATTACTGATTCGGTATTCTATTGCATATTGCTGCATTATTTTATTGGCTAAAGTTATCGTAAAGCCTATAATTATCAATTATAAACCAATCCATTGGATATACAAGCCTGTAATAAGATGTCTAAGTATCCTAGTAAAGCAAATAAAATCGATCTGGGGCACAAAGGCATAGCGAGTGATAGATCTTACTTTGCTGTTTCTGCCGAGCCTTGTCGCAGATAGCGGGCCGGAGCTGTAGCTTGGTGCCGTCCGGCAGCGTGCAGCTCCGGCTGCAGGCCACCACCCCAAGGCAGGACTTCTTGAGGATCTGGCAGTTGTGGTTGTTGGTGTTGCGCATGGCCCAACCGCTCAGGTGCCGCTGCGCGTTCTTGTCTTCGCCGCTGTAGATATAGCGGACGTAGCCTTCCGTCCATTCCTGGAAAGTGTCATACTGCTTGATGTCCTGGAGGGAAAATGGGTGCAAATACATTAATGATTACAAACAGCGGCCATACTTGTGATTTAATGTAATTAGGGAGAAAAGGTAAGCATTGAGTAAAGCAGAATTGTATGAAAAAGGATCCAACCGTTTTCCCCAGTTAATTATCTAGGATACTGTAACCTTTACTACACAGTTTTTGACAACGAGCGAATAATGCCCATGTGATCGCATACTTTATGCCAGTTACATTTCTCAGTAACGCTGTAGGCGAAGCAAATATGTTTAGCGCGTAAACATTTTAATAAGACATATGAATAATTTACATAAGTTGGATGAACTAAGTCTTCCACGACAATTAACCGTGGCAAACAGACAGCTCGCAAAAAGTGTCGGTAGGCAGCATACCTGAGGCAGCCGAGGGTCGTTGATATCCCAGGTTAATTTCATCCCCAATGAACAGACACAATCTGAGTCTTCAAACTGTTCTGACGATTTTGACATGACGGAACTGGTGAGGAAAAAAACAGTAAACTATCAACCGAAAAACTTCATAAATGCATGTCCGTGTTCAATGGTCTTATTATTCGTCAGAGAACGGAGGACTGAAAGTATTTATATTTAATCTAAGCACGAAATCCGTCAAATTTCATACTACTAAAAACACGAATGGCCATTCTGCCAGTGCGCTTTGCTTTGAGTTTGCAGGTGTTTGCGGGTCTCAGCCGCGCCCCCAAACAACCGGCAGCGTAATAAGCGCCGCCGAGCGCCGGCAGGTTACTTTCAAGGAAGAGGGTGGACCTCTCCGCGTCAGTCCTCAGGTTAATCTCCTGAACATCTCACCTGATGGTACTGCCCTTCTCTTGCCTACTGTCCACAGAAATGCTGCTCTCTGTTGTGTACAGAAAAAACGCCAGTTTAGCCTGATTACATTCTTGCTCATCAATCTTAAATTTTAGTTTTGTTCCCATTTAAATCAAATGCATCGTTATGTCTTGCGTAACAGCCACGGACATGCCAATATCGAATTAGTAGCTTTCTTTTTTCCCCTTTCTCCTAGTGTGATTTATTTTTGATGATGCTTGCATCTCATGATTAGGAAAAGGACAAAAACCGCACTCCGCCAGAAATTCCAGTTATTGTTCTGGCCACTCAGCTAAAATGAACGTAATCATATAACCAGCATTGTTAAGAGTTACAAAACAAGAATACCTTCTTCTGTAAATGAAAGGCCAGTCTGGAACATGTATATAAAACTGACTGTAAGTAGCCTAAACTAACGCACCAAACCAGATTATGGAATCATGAACATAGTTTTATGTAAACCCCCAAATGTTTGACATCTGGATTGTAAATTGAAAGAAGTACACCATAGACAAAAATGCTTATTTATATAGTCAACATAGATTTGTGGGTGATTTTCCATATTAAATGTGTCCTCCATTTTTATTATGTCAATAATTCCTACTTTTCGTATAAATCATATGCCTCTTTTCAGAGCGGATAACAAGATGTATAACATTTGACATTCCCACGAATACTCTACTGTCAGAAAAAATGGTCCAGCCCTGGTACAGTTTTGTTCCCCAAGGTACAAGCATTAATATATCCCCAATGGTACAAAAATGTTCCTCAGAGTCTGTACCTTACAAGGTACATCCTACAGCTAAAGTACAACTGGCAGACCCTCAAAGGTACAAACTGGTACTTTTTCTGACAGTGTATGTTCATATAAATTGTGTGCAGAATTATTAGGCAAGTCCTATTCCTGGAAATAATTTTTAGCAAAAGTTGGGCATACTTATAAAAGTAAATTCAGAAGTTATCTTTAGGTCCAAGTAAATATATTTAGAAAGAAGATGTTACATTAGTTTGTCACAAACAAAAATAAAAGAAAAACATTTTTCAGTGTGCACAATTATTACGCAATAAGAAACTTTTAAAGTGACTTTCGTTCTCTTCACCATCATCAGAAAGAATAACGAAAAACAATCTTAGTTATTCAGTCTGTATAAGGAATGATGAACTGATGACCATTCTATGCAGTCCACCGTACCTGGTTTAATATCCTGTATAGCCACTCCTCTACTCAATTACCACTATGAGCCTCTTGTCAATTGAACCAATCAAGTTTTTGATTTGATCACATCCTATATTATCTGAGGCAGCTAGGACTGCGTCCTAGATGTGTGCTGTTTGCCGCCTTGGTAAATCTCTTACTTTAGTATGCCCAGTAGTTCCCAATGGGGGTTATTGTCAGGCGATGAAGGGGGACAGTTCATAATTCAGTCACCTTTCATCTTTCTTGGCCAGTCTATGGAATACTTTGATGCATAGTAAGGGGCATTGTCTTGCATGAATATCATACAATTTTGAAAGATCCTGACTTTTTTGTACCAGTGTTTGAAGAAGGCGTCTTCTATAAGTTGACAGGAGAACATGTAGTTAATTTTTACACCATCTGCAAGTTGTAAAACTCTGACAAGTTCATCACTGATAATTGCAGACTGCATCCTTACTCCTCTACCACCTTGTTGGTGCTTGAAGGTGTCCATCCACTGGCCCATCCTTCTGCTCAGTCTGGAGACGTGTCCGTGCCCATTCTTGGGGTTTTAGCTTGTGTGCCTTACTGAGCTGAGGTTGTGTTTCAGCCTTTGTGACCTTATCAGTGTCATGCAGCACTCTGCACTTGATACTTCTGGAGATTCTGTTCAGATTGCAGTTTTGAGAAATGGTGGCGTTTGATTCTGATGAGTTTCTGGAAGTCTCCCCTTTAATTTGACAGATATCTTAGGCAGTTAATTTGTATCTTCTCTCTCCATGCTTCTTCCATCTTTGGCTGTTGGCCATGAAACACTGGATTGTATGGTGATCATGTTTTAAAAGTTTGGCGGTTTAGATTGTTTTGCATCCCTCTGACAGACATGTGCACTTTATTTTCTTTTTTTCCCACTCTCTGTAAGGTTCTTATTTTGGCTCATTTTAATAGTAATAATAAATTCCTTAATAATACTCCAAACATGAAGTACTCAGTTAAAATACTGGTCATGCTCTATTTTTAAACAGTCCATTATTAATTAGAAATTAATCTGGACTGAAATTATTAAATTGGAAGAGCAGATAGAAGCAAAATACACACTCGCCTTATAATTCTGCACGCGGGTTATGCGTGTGTGACTAACGTAAAATTATTAATAATTAGAAAAAATTATTGCTACATTATATTTTAAACACAATTATTTTTTTGGCTTTATTTGCAGAGCAATGAAGATAAGATTTAAAAAATTATCTTATCTTATATTGCACATATATTTCACACGTATATATACATACGCGTACGTAAGCGTATAAATGCGCAAAAATCATTTCACAATGCTTTCAAAATGGTTAATTTTCAAAGCATTTTCAAAATTAATGTAAGTATGGATTGAATTTAAGCTTGTAATTATTAATTTTTGTGTGTGTGTGTGTTCGCTATACTGTTTTCTGTAACCTAACCCCATATTTTCAACCGTGTCGGGTTAGTGATAAGATCGCTGATTTGTTACGTTCATCCTATAGGATGGTACAGTATAGGTATACCGTTTCCGAAATCATTCCATGAAAACTTATTATTTACATTGACTTCCATATTTAAAAAATAAATGTAGAAATTAATAGAACATTTACAAAAATGACGAAATGTCATTTCATAAACAGAATTAGTAGTGTGACCATTTTATCATATAGGCCTATACTAATCCAATATACATACATATTAAACACACACACACACACACGTGGTAGGTCAAAATGTATATGTATGTGCACGTGTATATATAGCCTACATACATGTAGTCAAAGTTTTTCAAATTAATACACATTCGATCTTATTTTGTCAGAGTTAACCTTTTTTAAATTTAGCACAGTAAAGACTGCCGTTTTTAAAATTATTTAGGTTTAATGTATTTTTTTAGAACTTCGTTTATTAAAAATGAACATACTTGGTTGATTCAAACGCAGTCCGAGTTTGCGGCTTCTGCTCTAAGCGCTTCTTCTCTTATTTACATAATACTTTCCGGTTAGGTTTATTAACTGTCACTCTGTTTTGAGTAAATATGAAACAATTAGACAGCTTTGCATAAATTCTATAGCGATAAGCAGTTATCCCTAAAATCCAGTCGATGGTACGGGTCATTGTGGAACCATATAAACAAGCTTTACGCGATATTTTACTGTTATTTACCAAAGAAAAACCAGTTCAACCAAAGTGATGTTTTTACAATAACCACTTCAAGTTTCGCAAAAGTGTCTCGAATATAAACAAAAAAATCAAACAATAATTCGTTTTTTTACTATAAAAATAAAATTCTTAATGATTTGCCGCTTAATGAATTTCTTATTTAGATGGAGCACATTTTCTCATTTCTTGTGACACAGTTTCTCTGTTGTACGAGCGTAAGATAGGCCTAAGTGTCAGAAACAGAGATAAATCATGATGTACCTCACGGGTCACAATGCAGCCTGCATGGGACAGACGCCAGCTTTTCTTTGAGTCACATGAAAGTGCAGTGTTGAGATTCACTCTACTGGAACCAGGACGTCTTTTAAGAATATTTTAAGGGCTGGCAAGCGCTGCTAAGACAGGAACAAAGTTAAGTTATCCGGTATACAGGTACCGCGCTACAGGCTGCCATGACAGCACATGCCGCATCAAAGCCGGTCTGGTTCACAGGTGACAGCTATCGGCCAAACAAATTACTTAGTGCAGAACCTGCCACGTTACCTGCATGGTCTATTAGTAAATTCCATGTAAAGCATAATACAAATGGCCCTTTCCATTACCCACAATTCCCACAAACAGCAATGTATTCAAAGTCTCACGGTAATCATTAAAACGGTCGAGATGTGGATTATAGTCGCGAAAATAACACGCTTTTACGCATAGTGTTCTTTAACGGGTTATTAAAATTACGTCATTAATACATAACTCCTGGAAAGTATAAATAGGTAAAAGCAAAGGAAGGCAGAACAAAGAAAATGACCTATGTGGTGACGCATAATAAAGATTTGAATAAAAAAGATATTCACTGTTTTTGTATTATTCTGTCTTAATGATGTTGCAATGTATCACAACATACCAACGTAAGGCGCTTTGGTGTGACTTTGTTGTGTAAAAATAAATTGAACTGAAAAGACAAAGAGCAAAAACCAATAAAATACAGACGATTAAAACGAATAAGATACAAACATCTGAACCTCCAAGTAACGTGTGTAAGGTGAGGTACAGCGATCCGGTGCCGGTCCGTAGAGGCTGCTAGCTGTCTCATCGGGTTAATATGGTTAGGGTTCTAGTAAAACGGCTTAATAAACTCTTTGGTATCACAGATGTTAAAATGAGCGGGTGTAAGCCCCGACTATCACTTAGTGCTCTTGTGGTTGCTGTCCCGCATGTTATCACTATTAAATGAATGAATCCCACAGCTTTCACTGGCGTGTTTGCAGTCATCCTGTTATCACGGACTGTGTCCCAAAACACCCTAATAGACCTAATCCAACATTTTCAAACACAAGACAAGAAATCGACAGGAAATCAAATTTAATTAACGCAATGTAGAGCTGTATCTGCATTCGCCGTTTATTAGACGAATAAACACGGGGAACGATCAGGGTGGGTGACACAGGTTTAAAGAGCAGCGAAAACTCTGGCTTCCTCGGGGTAACGGCGATGCAATCAGCGGTGGGATAAGTCAGATAAAATCACCCGAGGGCTTTCCCTTCGTTTACCTCCAAGAAAGAGGTATTTTTGACACTTCACTAAAGCGCTTATCCTATGTCTATATTATGGCCATATTTAATGAAAATGAAAGGCGAGTATCATTAACTTTGGCCGCTTGTTACCTTCTCTGATCGTTTGCTCATTAGAATCACCTGTGATACTCGGACTGCGAAAGTCTCACCAAAGCAGGACAAAGAAAGAAGCCATGGTTGTAAGTCAGTTTTAAAACTAGTTTACTCTTTTTTAACGGCATAAAGTATGACGTTTGCATAGTGTCTGACATATTGAGTGTGCGTGAGTTCATTGTACCGTACGGCGTTTCTCTGCCAGCTTAACACGGGGGTGCGATCTATTTTGTCTTTCTTGCTGTCTGTAAAAGGCGCTGCAAATGTCTTCAAACAGCTACAGAAAGTGGCTTTAAAGTATAGTGTAGTGTTGTGTTAGATTCAAGCCAAACTGACTAAATCATCCAGAGAGAAAGGTAGAAAACCCACCCATTTTAAATGCAAATAATAATTGTCTCATTTGAGTTCGAGGTCGTTTTAGAAGAAGCCTTCTTCACTAAAAATGCCGAAAAGATCAGTGATGCTTTTCTTGAAGAGAGAACCTCCAAGTCTTTGGTAAACCGGATGGATAAAGTAATTAGTGAGGTAAACGTCCTTTATTAGCTTTGTTTATAATGTTTACAGTCATTTAGCAGCACGAGGTTGTGAGTTGCTATTTTCATTAATTGTTAATTAAATCTTTTTAAAATGCATTCAAGGAGCTTGGCAGGAGTGAGTTCGCCAAGGTCTTTCTGCTTCTGAGAGCCATTGAAAACGTGTGTCAGAGTGATGAAGACCTCATCCAGTCCTTCATCCAGCATGGTCTTATCGTAAAGATAAGTGATACACACTAGTTTATTTAACACGTGACAGAATATGCCGCAAAAGCACATTTAAATAATGAAAATGATGATCCTAGGAAGCCTGACCGATGCTCTTTTTACTGTACATGTTGGCCTGGTTTGAAAGAGCTGTGGAGTTTTTGAAGGTGAAGGAACTACAGCACCAAAAAGCGCTATCAAACTTAATTGAAGCATTCTACGACACCTCCATGGTGAGTGACCTGTGCTCTCCCCTTGGTGCCTCTGCTCCCCACAGCACCTATGAAGGCTGTGCTGCCTCTGTTGCCTTGCTGTGCTCGTCACATGTCCTGTCTAACTTGCCCTTTTTCTTCCCTTAGAACATCTGTCGGATCAGCTTGCAAGGTTATTCTAATTTTCCTGCATTTCTCTCCCTTCATGTCATTAATGCAGGTGCTTTTTCATACTCAATTCCTGTTCACTGTTTCTCGGCCTTGGTGTTTCAGGGAAGTCCCAGATCCACGACATCTTTGTGCTGCGATTCGGCGCGCTCGTCACAGACGCTGATGTACAGTTCGACCTTCGTTTAGAGGTGAGGTCATTTTGATGTGACGGGATGTGAACGGTGCCTAAAATGTGACACCCTGTGTTCACACAGTCGTATGTCAATAAGCAGGGGAGGTTCTGACAGGACTGGTTAGTAATAGCGGAGGTGACTTTCCTGCCGTGTTGTGCGTGGCCTTCTCTGTGCATTGGGGTACATTGGGGGCACCGGATGCTACATTGTATCGTAGCATGCAGATAGCTGTGCATCAGCGTTGGCTAACTCCTCTCACATAATTCCAGGCTATTCGAACAATAAATTCAATCCTTGATGGAGCTACCAAAGAGGAGAGGAAGAGGCTCAGTCTATCTGAAGACCACTGCTTACTTCTGTAGGTTTCTGTTGTATGGCCCATGTATTAAAATAGCTGAAGCCAAATGCTAGTATAGAATTTTATACAATGTCTGAAGTTGCTGCCCTCTAGTGGAGCTTTTAAAAAGTCCTTTCATGGATTTGGTACATTTTCTCCCTCCCCAGTGAAGAACTGGCTAAAGTGATTGTGAATGTTGGTGGTAAGTATGTTGTACACCGATATTTAGAAGTTCGTGACTCAGTCGTGGTGATACACATCTGCGGGTTTTAATGTGGAGTCTGAAGGCAGCATGGCCCCCCCGTTCAGACTATGAAATGCAGGTGGCCGTCTCTGAATCGCTCTGCCGCATGACTACCAAGAAGTGGAGAGAAGAGCTGGTTTACAAGTGGTTCCCCAACAGAATTTTTGCAGACGCCTTCAAATCAATCAACGACCGGGAATTTGAGACTGTAAGTTTTTGTTTCTTAGTTTTATGATGTGTGTGCGTGAGTTCAGGGACGGATTACGGACCGGGCCAGCGGGGCCGCTGCCCAGGGGCCCTTGGG